TGAAATCCTTACCAATGTAATAAATGAAAATTTCATTTTCTCTTTCAATAGGTACGTTCGTGATATTTCAATTTCAACTTTTACTACTTACATTGTTTCTCCACTAAAAAGTATAAATCACCCAAAATAAATACAAGAAAATTTATTTAATATGATTCTACTAAAGCACACATAATGCTATAATTTCAAACTGAGAATCGTCATAAATCCCGAAATTAATCGTCTCAACTTCCATTCAAACGTAATTAAAGACATTGCAGTGCGCAAACGACCACCAATTAAAAAATCAAGAAATTTTATTTGCTCGTTTCTGAAAACCAATATTCGATAATCAGGAAATTTTCGTTAATTCCGATGAATCACACGACTAAACAGTATCTCCCGGCTAAGTTGAGTTCGAAGCAGCGAAGGGTGATTCGGATTTTCCAGAAGAACTTTTGTAGCTACACGGCGAGAAATTCGAAATGCGAGACGAGCGACAGTTCTTTGCAGAAGCTCGTTCTTGCGCGACAGCCGATAGTGGTAACACCGTGCGACCAGGTTCTACAGAAGTAGTACGAGAACTTTTAATTAGGTGCACGCTCTGGCGCCGTGACTTCAACGTAAAACGTAAGGGTATATCGAGGCGAGCTCTGACCTCGCTAAAAGATCGATCGCCGCTGTACGACGAGCTTTCGTTTCTTCGTTCGTTTGAATAGAGTTCGAAGTGTAATAGCTTGCCACGAATAATACACGCTCTCTTGCTTTCTCCGTATTGCAATAATCCCACCTACACTCTGCAATTAACTATACCGAAAGCAAACGTGTCTCGAGGTATCGTAAACCTGTAATACAGAGGCTAATACGTGTAATTATTTAATAGTCGTTCGAAAATTCTACCATAATTTCTTCCTAGAATGGAACAGTATTACTTGAACGTGCGTAATTCAATTTTAATTATTCACTTAAACAATCTATTACCATATTTCTCCTATTAATCTTTATTATTGTTGTTGTACCGTTACGACCATTTGAATATTTAACAGATATCCACGGCGAAAGGAATTAACCTGCAAGGGAGATAGGTATCGACGTTTAGATTGCGATCTAAATTTATGAAAATTTGAAGGGAGGAACACGGTGAGTTTTGCCTAAGAAGGTTGAATTTTCGTGAATTTTCGCGTCCCTTGGTCGAAGCTACAACCCGGCAACGTTTAATCACTACGAAATTAGGATAACCTCGCGCTGGTGGGTCGTGATTAAGCTGAACCTCCAGACCTGGCCACCTATGATGTGGTCTTTCAAAGTAGATATATACACGCCGTGACGCGGAGGAAGATGCAACACCGTCGAAGGAGAAGAGAGAAAGACAGGGAGCATTTGGTAGACGGCGTCCGTAATCAAAGACCCACCATTGCGATATCGAAAGCCCTCAAAGTTAAAGCTACTCTGGTAGTTCCGTCATCACCTGCTACCAACCTCAAAATCAAGAAGCTGATGGGGTTACACACCCTGTCGAATCCTGGCCGGTTTGGCGCAATTGAGCGATATTGGATTGCGCGCGATGCATTTTGATAAAATGTAATTTCGATCGGGATCTGTGCGGGAAGTGTGATATTTAAATTATGCGTATTGGAACAGGGGTTAATCCTGGAACAGTGACATAGGGTCATAGTGTCCCAAATGAGTTGTTTTTTATTTTCACTTCAGGAATCATTATTTATTCATTTTGACAATTTTGGCAATTTTAACCCTTTGCGATCGGCACATTTCTCTGGTGGGACTACCAGCTAGTCGGAGCAAATTTACATTTTTTTTTTTTTATGTATAAGGATATTGAAAAACAGAATATTTTGAAACTGATACATTTCGTTTAATACATACTAGTTATAGTGCATAAAAATAAAACGTTTTAATTTTTGTAATTTTCCAAAGTACGATACTTGACAAAACAAAGATCATGCCGCCATAGCGGCGACACCGATTTCTAGAACAAAACTGAAATGCCGCCACTATGGCGGCACCGATCGCAAAGGGTTAATGTACAGTTAGCGAAATAATGCAAAATTATTTTTACTGGATGGGGCATAGTGTGCCCCGTATTTAAAGGTATATTAGAGTAGGTGTTAACCCTAGATCATCAAAATAGGGAATACAGTGCCCCAGGAGATTTTTTTCTATTTTCACTTCACAAATCATTATCCTTTTATTTTGACAATTTTAGTATTAATAAAATTAGAAAATTAATAGAAATATTATTGTTACTGCGTGGGGCATAGTGTACCCCTTAGGAAGTATTATATTTAAAGATATATTAGACACCAAAGTAGGGAACACCCAAGGGATTTTTTCAATTTTCACTTTACGAACCATTATCATTCATTTTGACCATTTTGACAATTTTAATATTCATAAAGTTAGAGAAAGAATAGAAATATTATTTTTACTACATGGGTCGTAGTGTGCTTCACGTTAACATTAATTTCAATAATTTTTTTACATTAAATAGAATAAGAGTGCTAAGTTTCATTTTAAGACTCATTTAAAAAACTGAAGAGGGCCTCTTTCGTCACCCCAAAAATTTATTGCCCCAAAAATAACTAGCATTCAATGTAAAAAAAAAAAAAAAATTGAAGTCAATATCTGCAGTGATTTCGAAGAAAGCTCATCAGAATCACGACGAAATCTCAATAGCAACCTGCGAAGCATCCTTGAAAAATTCAGCGAATCCACAGATACTATCTCAGCACCGTGATATCCTCACAGACAAATCTTCCCCATTTTTATCACGTTGAACGATAAACGATCGATCGATCCTCCTACTCTAGCATTAAAAAAAAAAGCTGCTCTCTTGAATTCCGCGAAACGGAACAAGCTTGAATAGCGAAATACGGAGTAAAAGGATGGTAGATCGTAGCTGAACGCTCGTAACATTCCGTATGTAACGAAACAACCGATCGCAATTTATAGGTTCACCGTATCGGTAGGTAGAATTTTTATTTATCCAGTTGAACACAAGTTACGATGATAGCGGAGAGCTCGAGGCTCTGCGCCGCCAACTATATACAGATCCCAATCTTTTCTTCGCGTTTTTCGCACATCGGGACTTGTTCCACCGATTACTCGCCATCGGCCCCGACCGCCACTCTCTGTAATTGCATTTCCACCGGCGATCGATGCGCGTTATTGTTGAATCGCGCATTAATGACGTCATTAATTCAAGCGTGCGACGTGAACGAGATCATTCTCTCTCTCTCTCTCTCTCTCTCTCTCTCGGGCACACATATGTTGAGAAGATTACGAAACGGCGAGCTGGTACACACGCTCTAATGATCGGTGTGAATTGCACACGAGAACGCACTCTTCGATTCGCGACAACTTTTTCTGCGATCCTTTTATCTTGTTTCAAATGCGCGTGTTTTTAATGGGACGAACGAAACTAGCGACAGTTTCCGAACGAGTTTTTTTTTCAATGATCGTTTGATGAAGTTAAACGAGTATTCCGCTATGATGTATCACTCTTTACTACGTATTTTTTCTTCCAGTTTATTCGTTTTGATGCATTGAAGAGCAATTTTTTAAGGTTAGGTTCGGTAGGTCAGTGGATCGTTTATCGTTTAAAAATTTGATTAGTATTTTGCATCAGTTTCGGTAATATTTTACTGTTGATTCTATTGTTATGAAAATTCACACTATTAAGCTGCGTACAAATTATACAGCGTGGGCTATGTAAAATAAGCCACCTAATTATCTTCCCTAACTATGTTGGTACGAGGAAATTTTTATACGTAATTTAAATGGTTTCAAAGGGTGAGCAAGATGAAAGAAGAACTTTTTTATGAACGCCATTTTTTCTATTCTTTTTTTTCAAGTCACTTATATTTTTTTACGTAAATGTAAGTATACGTACTTTTTCCTACTGTATGTTGCAGCTGACATTGATGTGCATTTAAACGTGCTAATAAAAATAATTCCTTCCGTCTTATTCACCCTTTGAAACCATATGAAATGAGCACGAAAATTTTCGAAATGTAATTTTTAAGATAATTACATAAAATTATACGAATTTCAAACAATTACATAAAAATTGCACTGTTTTCCTAAAACATGACCAAAGGTGTATGAAAAATTTCAAGTCCCTTAATTTACAATTGCCTAATAAATTTTTTATTCTAAAAGTTGCCTAAAAATGGCGCCTCCGTAAGAAAACAGTCTTTTGAGGTTATGTTAGGTAGCCATAAGTACCGCGTTTTATTCAGTCTTCCCAAGCATGATTTCCTAATCGTTTCCACTGACGTATCGACTTTAGAATGCTTATGAAGTAAAGGCTTATTTACGATAATCAGATTAGAAGAAAAAGAAACGCAGCTCGGTGTGCTAATTCGCGCCGATATTCGCCCGTCTCGTTGTTCATCTCACTGGGTTAGGAGGGGGGAAAAGAAGACAACGAAGGGATCGAATTTTTCAGCGAAATTCGCCGGGAATATTTTTATTGAACGTTAAAGCAATACATGTTGCTAGGTGTTTCGTAAACTTCGTTTTCGACGGTATCGGTAGATTGCGCCGGTCGAACAATTATAGAATAACTTTCCTCGCGAGTTGCTCGCGTAATTACGGAATTTAATTAGCTGCACGGCTTGGTCCCAACGGATTTTAATATCTCACTCGATGCTTCTTTCGTTCTAATAATCCTTTTATCTTTTCCACCTCTTCCCTCTCGATTTTTCTCTGACTCTCGCGTAAGAAAATAAGAAGCTGAAGGCAGGAATCGAAGGCAACTGGTCGATCGATAGAGCGCGAAATTGGACGTAAAATTCACGCGTGCATTACATTACTACGTGCACACCTGCGTAAAATGTATCCAATATCTCCAAGCGATAATTCTACCTACTTTCATCGATACATCACCTCATTTTCTTCATCTTTTGTCGATCCGTTACGGACACCGTTATTAACAAACGTCGAATCTTCGTTGAATTATTCAGTAAGATCGATGCTAATTGTACAATTATGTACTGTATCTAACGATCCTTCTTGCGAGACGATTTGAACTTGTACACGCGATACATGGGAGAATACGGCTTGACCTCTCCGTCGCTGTCACCTTCGTCTCCCGTGGGATCGTCCCTGTCCGGTTTCGAGGATCGATATATTTGACTTTTCTCGTATAGCGCTAGTGCTGCAAGAAGCATTAGGTTTATTTTCGTCAATTCTGATAGGATTAATCGGTAAACAGGGAGGAGTGAGGGAGTTAGTTTTGGTGGATCGTGTGTATCAGCTTTGTCGAGAGGAGCTCTTTTCCCTTCGATTGCAAATATTTTCTTTGCATTATAATTCTATGTTCAATATTATAAAAAAATAGTAATAACGAAGGTTGACTTACGAGGAAAATTCAGAAAAATTTTAAACTTTGCAGAAATATATAATAGTTCAATTGATACTGATAACAAAATCATTTTTAGAGGTGAAAACACTCCCTTGGAAAAATTTAAAGTTATCGTGAATATTTGCAAAATTCAGAGTTGAATTCAAAGCTGTGTGGTTTTTGATATCCTACATTGTAGTGGTAAAGAATTTTTGAAAAACATTATTAAAAAAAAAAATTAAGATTGTTGGAGGTGAATTTTGAAAAGAACATTAGCATTAAATGAGATCTTTTTCTTTTAATGTTTTGATTTGCTAACGAGGGTTAGTTTGAACTGAGAATTTCGAATTATGGAAAAGATTAATTTCATTTCAGAAAAATCATTCAAATTGGGGTTATAATGAGGGTTGATTTATCTCCTTTCACTTAGAAACCGTGGAAAAGATTTATTTCATTTGCAAAAAAAAATCTCTTTAAAAATCATAATAGCAAGGTAAATTCTGCAACCCAAAAATTCGAAAAAACATTGAAACTTTGCAGGAAAGTAATTCAAGTGACACCAATAACGAAACAAGTTTTTATTTCCCCAATAAAACAGTTCCAGGAGTAAACCTCATTTCCATAAAGTTTCAAATTTCAATATTGCAAAAATCCTCGAAATTTTGCACAAAAAGACATTAAAGTTAGCTATTCTATTGCCAAAAAAAAAAAAAAATCTTATCATACAGAGATAACACGCCGTGCAATTTAACATAGAAAATCCTTCAACCGAAGAGTTCTGATTACTTTAATAACGGAAACCCCGTGAGTTTATGTGTCAGAGCAATTTTCCCTGAAATTTGAGCAAAACTCCTGATTACGAGTGGCAGACAGAGAGCGCGACAGAGCTTTCTAACTGTCCACGAATATTTACACTCTCGAACAAGAGAATAGTGTAAACCGTCGACTGGTAGTTTCCGCAAATACCGGTAATTAACATGTAGCGGGATGTATATTGTGTAATGCGGCTTGTAGGTACGTACAAGACAAACTTGGTTTCGCAGTTTCCTCCCTCTCGGAGTTTTTCAACGGCGACGTGTCGTTGGTGTATTTTTCCGTGGCCGTGGTACACGGGGGATGAAATGAAAAAGCTTCCGTCACGTCCAACGTTTTTTGCGGGGTCTCGTAATTTTGAAGTGGTACCGTGCCGACTACTATATTTGTTCGTAGTTTCAAGTTCTTCTGAAACATTCTGTAGTACCACTCGCTCACGTCTACGCAGGCCTCGACCTTTTGATCAAGAAGGAGAGAGCGAGAGAGAGAGAGAAAGAAAGAAAGAAAAATATATATGTAGTAGACTTCCTGTGCAGGTACAATCGGCGATGACGTATTAAAACTGCGCTCAACGGTCTGATTAATTTTAACGAGAGTACAATTTCATTGTACGATCATCGTGCACCGTAGAAAGACGAGTGGTTTTATCGTTGAAAACGAATTTTGAGGTTAGGATCACTCCTGAGGCCTGAAAGTGGTACGTAACTTTGGCAATTTTTTTCGAGGAAATAATTGAGTCTATCGAAAAATTTTTAAGGTGGGATTTATTGCGTTCTCCTTGGAGAGTGTGATAGTATTTTTTTCGTTTATTTTCTTTGCAAAATGGCGACGTTAGAGGCGTACTACTGAATCTTGAATTTTGGGTGGGTGTATCACGCGGTGCTGTCTCCTGTTGCTACACGATTTGAGTTAGAAGAAAATATTAAATATTTTCGTCATCTACATGATAATTACTAAAGAAGTGTACAAGATTTTTGAAAAATATTGAGATTTATGGGAATGGTGAATATATGAATAAAGAATCGAATTTTCCCTAAGATTTTCGTATATAAACGTTAATTACAGAAAAAGTTTCCAATATATTCCAAAAATACTGTGTCATTTTTTAGATTGCTTGACAGAGAATATTTTGCGAAAATTTCAAATAAATCGGATAAAAATTGCAAAAGTTATGGACAACACCGTCTATGAAAATGTCATTCAGAGAGAAACGCGTTTAAAATTTCGATTAGCGATTGACGCGCTTCGTTAAATCTCCTCTAATGGCATCAAACCGTCGAAATTTCTCGTTAAAACAACTGGATGAAATTTTCAAAGGTACAAACTACCGATTCAAACTAAAAAGAAAATTTAATTTTGTCAAACCTCAGAGGTGGTCTAACCCTGTAACGCAGAAACTCGCCGAAGTGTTTGAAATAGTAGAAACGCAAGAGACGTCGCGAGACTTTTACCGTCGGTGACATAATTGCGATACCAAGGTGGCAAAAAGAAAAGGGTAAAAAAATGTTGAACGAGTTACGAAAAGGGAGAAAATCGAGCGTAAATTTTGGTACATCTCTCCGGGTGACACAAAACACGGAGTGAAAATTCCGTGAAAATTATGCTCCCTGGCGAGTGTAATTTCACCTCGTATTCTGATTTTATCGCGGAACGGAGCGCTACTAAATTTCAGACAGTCTCACTTTAAGCGTGTACAGAACGTCGATGATGTTGCAGTGGATCATCCTGGTGGGTGGTACTGCAGGAACATCAAACGTAACGTCGTACGTATTGGTGTCTTTATTAACCGGCTGTTCTACTTCTACAACGATTTCTTTGTGCTTACGCGACTTTTCCGTTGAATGATAAGACACCACCTAAGAAAATATTCACCATTTAGAACAACCGTGGGAAGAATAGAAATCCAATAAAAGAAATATATCAGCGAGAGCATGACCCAGAAACTTCTACTGCAATACTGCTGCGTCAAACGGTGCTCCTTTTCAAACAAACTTTTATCAAACGTCAATTCTTTCGCCGTGTGTGCGTTGCTAGACAATCTAACCGGGGACAATCCTGCGGTGATAATCACCGATTTTGACGAAACTTTGGTGTATGGTGGTGTTAAGAAAAAATAGGTGAAAGGTTTCTTTTTTCTATTGGCAATCTTCCAGGTTGAAGGGGTGGAAATTGCCTTGGAAGATTGGGGTGGTAAATATCGTTGGTCTAAATTATTTTATTTTTCAAGTTTGCGAATTTATAAAGTAGAGTAATTTTCAAATTTGCGAATTTATGAATACAGTAATTTGCGAATTTATAAAGTAAAGTAATTTGCAGATTTGGGAATTTGTAAGGTAAAGAAATTTGCAAATTTTGGGAATTTATGAAATAAAGAAATTTGCGAATTGAAGTAAAGAAATTTGTGAATTTATAAAATAAAGTAAATTATCCCTCTATCTTTGATAGTTTTCGAGATATTAAACTAAATTCACTACCTCCACCTTTCAAGGCAATTTTCACCCCTTCACTGTAGAACTAATATAGAAACTTAAATTCGTCAATTCACGCTATTCCTGTATCTCCAATAATTTTCGAGATATTAAACTAAATATCCGAGCGATTTTCACACCCTCACTGTGAAATCTTACCCACATAAAAAAAAAAAAAAAATACGTATCGAATATTTTCCCAAAAACTATCTCCCATACCAAATTTCATCAAAAACACTAATTATCACTTGGAGATATCCCCTCGTAAGCCCATATATCCACCGCAAAAAATTATAAACGTCTCTTCGAGCATGCAAGAGAAAACAAAGCAAACAGCGACACAACTTTCATAATTCTAATTGCACAGTTACTTTTTTAAAAACGACCCTGATTTTCTTAACCACGACCGCAGTAGGATTCGTCATAACGATCTTAATCGGTATAGTTTGACCAGGAACGTAACCGTGAACTGGAAGCGACATGGACATGTTGATCTGTTCCGTCTGGCCCATATACAGTTTCGACTGTTGAACGTTTATAGGCAGCTGAAACGGATTCGTTCATATTTGTTTAAACAATACGATATCATATTCAGCTGGTTTTCAGAGCAGAGCTTCGTTACAGAATCGCTAATTCGTAAACGCATTGGCAGAGTCTTGTTCTATGGGGATGAAATCACATCGTAGAAGCAATATTCGTTTCGTTGTTAGATTTCTACTCACGGGAGCGAGAGGATCTCGATTAAGGTCAAGAATAGGAGCCACCGTGAATGGAATAATATTGGTGGAAAACCGATAAATGGTCGTTACGTCCAACAATGCCCTAATCGAGTACCGTACTCGTCCGTATCGGCCCTCAAAGCTGCACGGTAACTCCTCTGGAAGTGTTAGGGTGAACGGGTAGACGCCGCCAGTTATCATAAACTTTTCTTTACCATCTACTCGTGACGAGAATCTGTTAATCCAGCGACATCCAGCCTTTCATGTTGCAATCGCTAATAGCTCCTGTACTTACCGCCCACAAGATACGTTTCCACGTGTAGGTAATTCTCGAAGGACGAAAACTTACGCCGGATCCCGGCCGATCGATCGGTGAAATACACCTGGGCTTCTCCCTTGCATTTTAGCCTAATTCCTGCGTGCGGAAATGGTCAACTTAGAGCGACATCGCAGCGAAAAAATTTCAGTTTCACTATAATACTCGAAGCCGTTCGATAACATTTACGTGAATGTATTAATTCTTTGAGTATAGTAACTGAGACGGTGCTTTCTTCGAGAAATTTCAATGTTTATTTAGAAAAATTGAGAAATGCAATTTTTAAATTAAGAAATATAATTTCATTAGAATTTAATAATGAAAATTATTTTGAATGACTTTTATTATTTTATTTGTATCATTTGGCTGATACTCATTTCAAGACGGAGAGAAAATGATCTTATGGACTCAGTATCCTTTTTCACAGAGAAAATTCGCCAGTTTCCCAAATAATCGGGATTATTTCGATTTTTTGCAAATAAATATTGAAGTTTACGAAAAAAGGTCGTACAGTTATGCCGTAAGTTCTGTCTTACGAAAAAAGTGACTTTATCGCACGAAATCCTGAAGCTCCGTAGCTCACAGAAATAAAATACAACTCTTTCGTATCCAGCGAGATAAAGTATTAAAGAGAACCGTGCAGTTATTCTCGTGCTCAAATGTCACAAGTCGCTGACAGAGATTTTCAATCTTCCGAAACCGTCGAAGTTGACGAAAAATTTATCTAATATCGAAACGTTGAAGACAGATTTCGTCATGGCGGCAAAATCAATGCACTCATACGCATTTCTACAAATAATACTCTCAGCAATAGATAAAATTTTATCCAAGTCAAAAAAATGCTAACTTCGCATAATTTGACCAATTTCAACAATTTTTCCACTGCAATACACCTGGAAAATAGAATACTCTAAAAGATTGTCCTCCGTTTTAACCTACACGTTACATAAAGTCACTTTTACGGTGGACAGAATTTATGGCACCACTTATGTACACTTGCGACCGATACAAGTTTAGAATCGCTTGTCTAGCTGGTACCATTATGAAACATCCCGCTAATTATCCTCTGGATTAACAAACTTCCAGCAAAGTTCTTCAAACTGAACGCAATATATTTCCCATGAATTTTTTCGATTCGAAACTTTCAACTAGGAGAACGTATTATAATACATAACTACGATTATCAGATACGCCGGTACTATTAGCTAAAGTATCATCTACAGATACAAGGATGTAACAAAGACTAAGATTAACGAGAATGGAAAATACACAGAGAAGTGTCTGTAAAGGAACAGGGCACGTGCAAAAAAAAAACATGTCCATATTTCACTAGCAAACAGCGCATTAGACGCGGTTTAACGATTCCTCTAGCATGTAGAAAGTCAGTATACATATGTGTGTGAATGTACGAGAGAGGAGACCTCTTCCTTCGTTCTATCCTTCAGTTCTACAACCTGCAATACCAGAATCACGTGGTACATCGTCAGGTGGCATGTATACACAGAACGGTAGTAAAATCTTTTAGGTCACCCGTTATGCAACACGATCGATGGCACGTTTGGCACGCGTTCGACTCCCGGAGCATAGGAGAAATTTTTGTGTGATTGCGAAGCGACAACAGGGGTAAACAACGGGAGAATAAATATAAAAGTTGGTCGTGCCTCGTTACAACGAGCCAATCGAATGTCTTCCCGTTCCCTCTGTCTACCCTATCGAACTAGAGTCTGTTTCGATATATCACGGGAAACGGTAACAATACCGCAACCATGGCCAGGTGAAACTTCCAAGGGAACATGCTCAATTGATTATCGTCGATTTTGAGGAAACTTTGGTTTGTGATAGTTCTGGGAAAAATATTCGATGTGAATTTTGGTTTTATTGGAGATCGTTCATAGTGGAGGGGTGGAAATGGTCTCAAAGATGGAGATGGTAAATAGATGTTTAGTTTAATATCTTGGAAATTGTTGGAAATGGAGGAATAGTGTGAAATGACGAATTTAAGTTCCATAGTAAAAGGGTGAAAAATGCTCTTAAAATTGAGGTAGTGAATATCTTTAGCCTAACATCTCGAAAACTATCAGAAATAAAGAAATTGTGTAAATTGACGAATTTCACAATTCATAACTAAAGATTTTGAGACATAAAAAGTAAGTAATTTTGGTACCAAATATGTCTATTCCCCTCATCTTTGAGTGCGATTTTCACCCCTTCAATATGAACGATCGTCGATAAAAAAAAATACGTGTCAAATATTTTTTTGAGGACTATTATACACCAAAGTTTCATCAATATCGGTGATTATCACTTGGAAATGTTCTCCTGTTAAAGCTACAGCTACATTGTTTCGTTTCGAGACAAATTTATCTAGCAAACGAGTCCATAGTCTGGTACATTAATTACGATGCACATTTGCACGATCAACTCTCCACAATTTGTTCACAACTATCTGACAAATTTACCGGTACAGTCCGATACACCCTCGGCTTGTACTACTTTCTTCACCGCTGCGGAGAAAGCGCGCTTCGAAACACTCGTTTTCGAATCAGGGTTGGTTTTCCCCCTCTCTTCTTTTTTTATCCTGATTCAATTCGACTCTGTTTTTAAGTTAATTAGGAGGATGCTTACCTAGAGCACTCGCTGGTTCCTCCAACTCTAAGTGAACGTTCCCTGAAATTTCGTGTCCGCTGTAATACACCTCTTGAGGGTGATCGAGGACGATATCGATGCGCTGGAAGCCAATGCTAATCGCAATGAAACATAACAAACAACAGATTAAACAATCTCATGGTTAATTGTCCACGTGTTGGTACCTTTTCGACAAAGTCGCGACGATCGATGGATCGGTTTCTGCTTCCTCGTCCATTCCGTCGCACGTGTACGATACAAGATCCTTCAAACTACTCTCAAATTCATTCACGTTTTCCAGGCAAATTAACCGTAAGACACTTTAGATCTCCCTCGAATCACAAATTCTTCATTATCCGCGTTACATAAATAAACACACTTTCTTCGTCACTTTCGATTCGTAGCTCACTGCCAAAACAACAACGTCCATCGCCTTTTCTCACGTATTTCCACAGGAAGCGGACGACGAGTGTCCTCGATGCGGTTGCCAAAATTGTCTGAACCGTGATTGATATCGAAGCTCGAGAGAGGACCAGTGTGTCGCAACGATATAGACTCGGGGATAGAAAGCGGAGCGTAGATGCACCGGATAGAGAGCTAGTCGAGCTTACGGGGTTAAGGACGTAGTGAGATGTTTGTTGACAAGATTCCAAAATTGCAGCGAATCCTCGAGGTAGGCGACGCATGCGTCACTCGGTTCGCCAATATCACAGCGACATTCTGTCGCGTATTGGAGAACAACCTTTGCTCTTTCGCCTCCTCCGTCCCCGATAATCGAAGGACTCTCTCATCGAGCTGGAAACTCTTCCACGGCAGGTAGTAGGTGGTGCACGCCGCAGTGGCGTAACTCTGAATTAAGGGCGGGCCGCGTAATAAGGGCACCCGTATCGACCAATCGAGGATCATCGTGCTCCACGGCCAGGTGACTTGCAGCGTTTAAATTCTGCCGCATCGTTGCTACTTTTGTGTCGGTTCGCGATGCGCCATCGGCGCGGCGTAACGCGCGGCCCGGGGGGTAGATATCGCGCATCGCGAAACGGAGTTCTAAATCCCCTAGCGTTTGCGGGCCGGTCGCGTTGCAACCTTTTCACGGATTTGTCCAACGTGTGCTTAATGATCTGTGCACCCTTTCTTTTGTATTTTTCCGAAGATGGATGGATCTATCTTTTTAGCTTCCTTTTTTGGTTTTTGATGGCAGTGATTGAATCTGTTTGTGTTTAGGCATTGGAACGATGATTTTCTTTTTCTTAACTTGATTTGCTTGAAAAATTATTAATTTTGTTTTTTAACCCTTTCGCTGTTTAGTTTACTCTTTTGGATGGAATTTGTTTGTTATTATAATATTGGGATAATGATTGCCCCTTTAATATATTTTTTTAACCTTGATATCCCAAAAATGGTCAATTATACTTTCTTTTTATCAATGATGCGAAAATTACTAAAATTTCTCGACTACGAAATATTGCCGAAAATTGTATTATAGTTCTCGAAATTTTCAACGGAACTTGCATTTTATATGCGCTTCGATAATATTGAAATTAACGTCGAGATGAGCTCCAGTAGAAGCTTGTTAAGAATTACGAGGCGAACTGAATTTATGATACGACCGTGACCTCTTCGCTGTTTTCGAGGTTAAAAATTTGCATATTCCTCTCGACTCAACTCCCGTTCTCCTTTCTTCTTCCTTAATTTTTTATTTGTTCCCAAGTAAGACAGAGAATGTGAGCACTTTGTGAATTTTTGTTTCGACTTCCGTTTCAACTCTTGATGATAATTAGGCTATTATAAATTCGTAGCAATAAGCTTTGTATATTTGAAGGTACAGAATTTCGGAATAGTTTTCCATATTAAGGACATGTGCAATGTCTCTGCGTAGCACACCTGCATGCTCAATGCAGCGAGTTTGAACTGCGACGTGTTCAAAATTCAGGAAACCGGCCAAAAGATCTTCATTAGCCTTCTCGCAAACTGTACCTCCATTTGCCATCTCTTCCAGGAACGTCCTGTAAGGGAGAATTAGAGTTCGGATGAAAGATTGGATGAACTTGCGGAATTAGAATCGCTGATTCACATAAGTTTCAGTTACTTGAACATTCAGATCCATCTAATCCCGGTAATTCCTAATCTTCTGGAAATATTAAAATACTAAATCTATTTAATCACTGAAAGTCGCAAATATTGTTTTCAATTTTCCAAGTGTTCCGTAATAAAATAAAAAGAACAGAAGGATATTTTGGACTTTTCTGCTATTTTGGACTTTTTGCACGATGAAAAATTGAATCATTTCGAACAATTGCAAACTTTCTTTCTGTTCAACTTTGTTAATTTCTACTTAAAATCGGACAAAACCTTCCAATAAACTTAATATTCTGAAGGAAATCAGATTGCTTATAAAGTTGCAATTGTTTCTATTAAAATAAAAAAAAACATAAGAATATCTCCACCATTTTTCAAACAGTGACAAATGACTTTTTTCTTCAACTAAATTTTCCCTCGAGATCACATTAATTCTCAAAAATAGCCTACGAAATCTTTTACAAAAACCCATTACTTTTGCAACAGATCGCTCATTCTCCCGACATAATATCCTCAACATCTTCATTCCGCGGTGAATAAACGCTATTCGCGGAATACTCCCGTTCCGGATGCCGGGGCAGCGTTCACTTTCGTCGGGAAAGTAACAAGAGCGGCGTTTACATAATTGACCGTGGTAGTACTTTAAACAGGAAATTAAACGGCGAGTTTGAAACGTCGTGACTCTTAATTGCGCCACGCGTCGAGCCCCAGCGCGGCGGTTTGCACGCTCTCTGTGTATAATTATCGGTTTACACTTGCGGCGACCGGGTAAACCGGTGTGTTCATACGGCGCAAACGCATGAAATTTCCCTTTTTCTTCTCTTTCTTTGAACGGAAACCGCCTGACGCCTGTTACGCGAAACGAATTACGCATCACTGGGACACAAAACAGAGGCTTTTAAGTTAGTCTGATCACGAGTGAAGCTTGGCGGCACAGGTACTACTTACTTACACACACACGTACACACGTGGAAAAAAGGAGAAGGCACAAAGAAAACCAGTTCCAAGAGTAAATTCACCTCGTTACGCACGAATAGTCCGTAACTTCATCGCGTTCCTTGTTGCACGTGGTATCTGGACTTGCATCTGTGTAGCACGGTAACCAGATATTGCGGAGAATTAATTACATGCGCCCTCTAGACCGGTATCTCCCCTCCCCTCCCTCCTCCCGGCACTCTACCCCCACTCCGCGCGCTTCTACCCCCACCACGCGCTCTTCTACCCCCACCACGCGTGCTTCTACTCCCACCACGCGCTCTTCTACCTCCACTCCCTCTCTGTCTTACCGTTCCGTGGTAATACAGACGACTTTAATTAGCGATCTCGTGCCCGGCGCGGTTTTCTTTTGGAAGACGGTAAATCATGCGGCTACTCGTCTTACACGTAATAAGAAAATTTCACAATAATGCTCGGCGATCGATCGTCGGCTACTATCGGTCCGAATGGATCGTAAAAGGGTTATACACCGAGCCCTCCGGTGTGTATTCTGTACACACAGCAATAATTCTTCCGCTTTCTGCTTCGCTCGGTACATACTTACCTGGCACGTTAAAGAAACTGTGGCAAACGAATACACTACGGCGGATCCGAACACCTCCGATTCTATATCGAATTTCATGGCACCGTACTTCTACGTTGATTTAATGTGAGCGCGGATTATAGGTATTCGTTGCACTCGGTGTCCCGCCTTGTATTGGGGTAACAGATACACTTTAGATAGAGCGGATGTTGGAAAGATTGTTGGTGTTATTTCGTTGCGGCGAAATTAAATTAATACGGGTATTTGAAATTTGACGGTGATTTAGAGAAAGTGAAAATAAAAGAAAAAAAATTTGTGGCGATTCAGAAAATGTGAAATTAAAAAAATATGAAAATTATTTATGAGTTCGTACTGCAATTGTAGATTTGTTAAAATTCAGTTGTAGTTAAAATTTAATTGCAATTAAATTTGGTATTAATATTGTAAGTCATTGAGAATAAGTGAAACAAAAATAGAATACTTTTCTTGCAAATTGAAAATTTAACAATTCGCAACTTGACAACGAATACATTTTTCATCGATGATTAATTTTTAAAGGGGAATACAAATTAATAATTCCAAAAAGTTTAAACGTGGAAGATTTTTTTCATTTTAGTTGATTGAAGTGGGTCGCACAAACAACTTCTACGGGCCGCGGTTTGCCCATCGCGGGCTCTAAAGAGTACTTCGATGTTTCAAGCAGAGGAACTTTTTATTCCTTTAGCGAATGTGTCAGCTCGATCTTAATTTCTTTTCTTTTCTCTTTTCCTAAAATTTAATAGTGATAAATATTGAATATAGAAAATACTGAAAAGAACGATAAATATACAAATATGACAGCGTATATTCGCATTCAGTACATATTTGAATTGTTTCATTATTTGTTTATGCAAAAATTCCTTTGAATAAAATACACAAAATATTCAAATCGCTCGTTTATTTCTATGATTGTACACTACAAGAAAAAATTATTAAGCAGTATAAAAATGTTGTGGAAAAATTTTACTGCTTCACACTTTAAGGTGTATTTTTTTGAAAAAGCAATTTTCAAGAAGAGCAGCTTAGTACTTTTTGTTCATCTGCAGGTATTGGACCATTTGGCTTAAGTATGTGTTTCGAGCAGTATCTTTTATTCATTCTAATATTCGCTCGGAGCTATCGCGGCTGTTTCCTCTGATGGACAAAAATCTCTTTGATGTTAATGTTCGTTATATATTCGCTTTGTATTCGACGAATCCTCTTGAATGTCCCTTATCAGTAACTATAGAGAAAGCTGATGTTAATCCTGGCTAATAATGCGTAGCCCCGTCGCAATAGATATTTCAGTCTAAAGGTAAAGCCCCTATCGCGTATTATTAATGCCAACATGATGGCTAAAGTACCTGTAGTAGGAATTTCTCATAGGATACGTCTTAATCGGATTAGAATGGAATTATTTATTCCCCCTCACGAAACGATTGATCTCACAAATATTTTCATAAACGGCTTGACCTTTGCTTACGGACGATCGGAAAGAATGAATATGCAATTTAGCTCCTAGGAGGATTAATTCGCGTGAGAGTTTTAAGAGGGTGCACTACCCTGAGGCGCCTAGAAATGGGTGAAGCTTGGGAATTTTTTTTCATATGCAAGTATTGAGTGAAAAATTTTAATTTTTTTAGGGGA